GTGGCACTCATCAGTTTAATTCCACATAGAGAGTTCTTTAAACAGCATAATTCTCAAGGCAAACATTTTACTAGTTAAGCAAAATTATTCTTCAGTTTTAAGATGAGTTCATGTCTTAAGATGGTTTTAAGATTTAAGGATTATCACTGAAATTTTGGGTTAAGATTTAAGGATTATCTCAGGGCTGTAGTTTCATCCACCACCCCACCACCACCACCACCACCACCACCCCCATGGCTCCAGAAAGTCTAGAGTCCACAAGAATTTGAAATTCTTCTCTACATCTTTCCCTTTGTTGAAGATTTTTCTTTGGAATCTGTGATCAAAATGTTCATGAAGCTGTTCATGGAACAAATTATCAACATATTCCACAACCTCCACTCATTCCTGACTCTTCTTCCTCTGTTGCTCCAAGTGAGTAGAGATCATTATTATACCTTGGATGATCACCTTCCAAGATTTTAGGAGTACAGGCACTATACAACAAACTTGGAGGTAGCATACAAGCACTAAACACATAATTTACTGGAATGTCCAATGAAACCATGACCCTAAACCTCCAAGCCAAGGAGCCCAATCCCATGAGGTGATTCATTATACATAAGCAGCCTCAGAAACTACTCTCTTTGCCATTGTGATAAAAATGTTTATCACACAATTGTCAATTCCACCTTTGACAGGTATACATCATTGACAGGAATTACAATAATCAGATGTGCAGCCCTGCCCTTAATCAATGTAATTTTTCCATGACCACTAACCTGTTCATCCCTCTCAATCCTACCTCCAGGAATCACTAACTAATTTTGATCATTATACATTTGCCTTTATTTATATATTGTTGCTGCTGCTGTTGTTACGTGCTCTCAAGTCAGTTCCCACCCAGAGTGACCCTGTATAGGTATAGGGTTTCCAAGAGTGGCTGGTGAGTTTGAACACCAAGGTTGGCTTTGCAGTCCAGTGCATTAACCCACAACACCACACCAGGACTCCATATACACATATATGGGATCATCCAATATTTGTTCTTTTATGATTGGCTTATTCCATTCAGTATAATGTCTTCAAGCTCTGTTCATACTGTAGCATATATCAATAGGTCTGAAGTATGAGAGATAAAATCTGGCCACAGCCTTCCATATGGGTTGCACCTCAGTGCAAAGAAAACAAAAATCCTCACTAATGGACCAATAAATAAGTCAAGATAGATGAAGAAATGTTTGAAGTTATTAAAGACTTCATTTTGCTCAGATTAACCATCAACATTCGTGGAAATAGCAGTCAAGAAATCAAATGACATATTGCATTAGGCAAATCTGCCACAAAAGACCTCTCTAAAGTGTTCAATAGCAAAGATATCAGTTTGAGGTCTAAGGTGCACCTGACAAAAGCCATGGTATTTTAAAGAGTCTCATGAACATGTGAAAGTTGGACAATGTATAAGGAAGACCGTAAAAGAATTGATGCATTTGAGTGATGGTGTTGGAGGAGACTATTACAAGTACTTCCCTAATGAACTCCATAACTCCATGAGTATGGTGTCTGAGTTGTGTGTACCCATTTCAATGAATTAGTGAACACAGATGAGAAGTAGAAGATGCTATGTGAGGGATGGTTGGTGCCACTTTTCAATTTAATTTAATTTTTTTTTGGCAGATACCGTACTTGTTTTTTGTTTTGTATGTGTCATATAGTCAGTTCCAACTCATAATGACTATTAACAGCAGAAGGAAACACTGCCTAATCCTCACAATTGTTATATCTAAAACCATTGTTGCTGCCACGACATCAATTCAGCCTGGAGGTCTTCCTCTATTTTATTGCCTTTCAATCTGAGGGGCTTATCTTCCAGCACTATATCAGCGTTCCACTACTATTCATAAGGTTTTCAGTAGCTAATCATTCAGAGGTTCAAGCCTACCAGACACTCCTTGGGAGAAAAAATAAGGTTTCCTCCTCCTGCAAAAGGTTTACAGCCTCGGAAACTCTAAACAGGGTCACTATGAGTCAGAGCTGACTCGATGGTACTTAACAACGACTACAACAACAACCATTCAGAAGTCCAACTTTCTTTCTTCCTAGTCTGTCTTAGTCTGAAAACCTATCCACCATGGTTGAACTTATCCCCCATGCTGAACCCTATCCACCATGGTTGAACCTATCCCCCATGCTGAACCCTATCCACCATGGTTGAACTTGCTGGTATTTAAAATAACCAGTGCAACAGTGGCCAGCATTACAGCAACACATAATTGTGACAACACAACAAACTGATAGATGTGTGGTTGTTGCCATGAAATTGTTCATCAATTCTGTCATCATTCTCATTATTTCTGTTGTATCTGTTGTGATGTCCCCTTTTCACCTCAAAGTTGATGCAACAGAATGCAGAAATTATCAAACAATATCATTAGTATAACATGCAAGTAAAATTTTGCTGAAGACGACTCAAAAATGGTTGCAACACAATATCAACAGGGAGCTGCCAGAAACTCAAGCAAGATTCAGAAGAGGATGTGATATGAGAGATACTGTTGCCACCAGATGAATCTACACCTTGGCTGAGTATCAGAAAGATGTTTGCTTATGTTTTATTGACTATGAAAAAGCATTAGATGATGTGAATCATAACAAACCATGGGTTTTCCAGAACATTTCATTATACTTATGAGGAACCTTTACATAGACAAAAAAGGCAGCCATCAGAACAGAATAAGAGGATACAGAATGGTTTAAAATGAGAAAAATTGTGTTTCACAGTTATATTTACAAACTAAGAAGTTGGATAATATGACAATATTAACAGGACTGGAGAGAGAGTCTATTAACAACCTGTGATATGCAGATGACACAACCTTGCTTATTGAAAGCAAAGAGGACTTGAAATACTGATGAAGATTTAAAAAAAAAAAAAAATCCTTCAGTATGGATTGAACCTCAATGTAAAGAAAACAAAAATCCTCCCCACTGGACCAATAAGTAACATCTTGATAGATGGAGAAAGGATTAAAATTGTCAAAGACTTTATTTTACTTGGATCTACAGTCAACACTTATTGAAACAGCAGTCAAAAAATCAAAGGATGTGTTGCATTAGGCAAATCTGCTGCAAAAGACTTCTGTAAAGAAAAAAGACTAAGGTGTGCCTGACCCAAGCCAAGCCTTAGTATTCTCAATTGCCTCATATGAATGTAAAACCTGGACAATGAATAAGGAAGACCAAGACCAAGACCTTAGAAGAATCAATGCATTTGAATTATGTAGTTGCAGAAGAATATTGAGAGTACCATGGACTGTCAGAAGAACAAATAAATTTGTGTTGGAAGGAGTATAGCCAGAATGCTCCTTAGAAGTGAAAATGCTAAGACTTCATCTCTCATACTTTGGGCATATTATCAGGATGGACCAGTCCCTGGAAAAGGATATCATGCTTGATAAAGTAGATGGTCATTGAGAAAGCAGATTCCCAATGAGATGGATTGGCACAGTGATAGCAACAATGAGTTCAAACATAACAGCTATTGTGGGACTAGTGCACTTCCAGGCAGTGTCTCATTCTGTTGTGTACAGGTTCACTTCAAGTCATAGCTGACTCAAAGGCACCTAATAGCACAACCACAAGGACCCAGGATCACATTAGCCCAAACTGAGCTACAGTTTGCCAGTACTATCATGCTTCCAGTTCCTTCTAACTCCAGGGTGGAAGCCCTTTGGGTTCCAGCCTAAATCACAGCTGACACTGAGTTTTTACCAGCCCACTACTGTGCTCCTTTGCCTCTTAGACCCTTGAGTGAGTTTTTCTGAATTAGGAAATGTCTCAATTAAATAAGCAAACAAATAATATTAATAAAAACAATCCATTGACATCTAGTCAATCCCTACTCATAGTGACCCTACAGGATTTCAGAGAGTATTCATCTTCAGACTCATACTGCTACATCTTTCTCCCTGAGTGAAGGTGTTGGGTTCAAATCTCTAACATTTTGGTTAGCTGTCAGGCTCTTGAACTATTGTGCCACCAAAGTTCCTTTTATCTCACTTCTGGGGCTCAAAATATGGGGATTATGTCTCTGGATTTTCACTTTTTCCTACACTATTTCCTACAATAGTTCTTCACAGTATTTCTTCGTTAGCTATCCAGAATCTTCGAGCAGATTTTAAAAATTGTGGTTTTATTCTGATCAGCCTTTTTTATTGTATTTAGAGAAAGGGCTAGTCTGCTTTGTTAACTCCATCATTACCCTCCATTCTCCAGGAAAGCTTTTTAAAAGAACATTCTAGACTTGGCCTTGCACACAAATTTCTTCTAGGAAAAAATAGAAATCACCTGACTGCCTCTGGAAGAAAGCAAAGGGGAAATGCCTCAAGAACAAGTCAGAAAATAATATGTCAATAAATTGCCCTGTGAAAACTTTAAACTTCCTCTTGTTTAAAATGAACCAATTCGATGGCACTTAACAAAACACCGTTTCACATACCTCACATGGACATACTCTAAAGCGTAGGTGACAAGGTTGAGGGCTATCAGACTGACTTAATGGCAGTGGAGCAGCTAGAACAGAATAATGCAAATGTTGATACAATGTGAAGAATGTAACTAATGTCACTGAACAACATGTATAGAAATTGTTGAATGACAATTTGTTTTCTGTGTTTACGTCCACCTAAAATACAATAGAATATTGTTTGTAAAAATACATATATCTTGTCCTTTGTAACACGTATCACAGTTTCCATTTTAAATTGATCTCTGTGACTATTTTGTTAATATCAGTTCCTTATCTTTATAATGTGACCTCCATGATGCCCAAGATTACAACTGTGTTCGGACTTTTAAGATACCATCTTTTTATATAGTCTCTAAAGCTAACATTGCACCCAACAATCATAATCATTCAATAGACATTTATTGGCTCAATGAAGAAATCATTGAGGGGAGAATATTCTACAAGCGTCATCAGTAGAAAATGACCTAAAATTAGGTGTCTTGCTTTCTTGCAGCTATCTCCTATATATAATCTAGTTCCCGTGAAAATGAAAGATGCACACCTAAAGAAACAAAATCTGGAACGATCCATTGAAGACTATATCAATGAATTCAGTGTGCGGAAATGCCACCCATGTCAAAATGGGGGCACTGTGATACTGCTGAATGGACAATGTTTGTGCACCTGCCCACTGGCATTTAAAGGACTTGCCTGCGAAATAAAGAAACAGTAAATGTATTCATTTAAGGTTTAAAAAAAAATGTATATTTGATATTGCTAGGGAAAGAAATTATACTTTGGGTTGTTTAATTTAAAAACCAGTTCTTGAATGAATTTTATTAAGCTTTTAAATTACCCATGTAAACAGAATAAAGAATAAAGTGTGAAAATGAACAAATCAGCCTTTGTGTGTGT